TTGAGTCCAACAACAAAAAAAGTAAGTACAGAGGAGGAAAAATAAAACTAGAAGATCTACTTTCTTGTGTGGCTGGGAATATGCTATAAAGTTTTTTTTTTTTTTATAAAGAAGAACTCCAATAATATTTCGGGCAATACTCTTTTGGAATAAATGAGTGACTCCCAAATAAAATTTTATTTTATTCACTTTTTATTTATTTTTATAATTTATTTTGAAGTAATTTCTACACCCAACATGGGGCCCGAACTCACAACCCTGAGATTAAGAGTTGCGTGCTCCACCAACTGAACCAGCCAGGCACCCCAGCCCTCAAAAAAAGTTTAAAAGAACAGGATTCACTGGGTTGTAAAAGTTGCTTAACCTTCAGTTAAAGCCCATCTTATTGATTTATAATCACAAGTTATAAGACAAAATTAGCATCAATCAATCAATCAGTAATCCCTTCCACTCATACAAAGCAAACCATTTATCCCTGGCTCTCTTCTCTTCTAGTTTCATACGCTCTTCCTGAGCAATTTCATCTGCTCTTAAGCCTCCAATTACCACTTACTTGCTAACTCTGAAATCTGAATCACCAATCTCAGCCTCACTCCTGAGACTGGAGGCTCTGGACCCTCCCCTGGCAACTCCACCTGAAGTGTCCAAGACACTGCAAACTCAACATGCTCTAAATGAAACAACGCTCTTCCTCCCACATTAAAAACAAAAACAAAAACCCAGAACAAGTTCCTCTATCCAGTTTCCCAAGCTAAAAAAATGAAGCCATTTACTTTTCTGTTCACCTTCAAAGCCAATCACTTTTTAAGCCCTGTAAATTCTACATCTTCATTATCCTGTCCTCTCCTCTTCACCTCCATTACATTTTTCCCTCTCCAGGCCCTTATCCTCTCTTATCTGGACTATTCCAATACTGTTAGCCTTCTAACTTATCTCTCTACGTTTTACCTCTCTCCGTGCAATCCAGCCTCTGTCCCATACCACCATGTTATCTGTCTTCATTACCTAAAATCCCCCACTGGCTCTCCATTGTCTTTAGAATTGAGTCCAAAGTTCTAGCATGATCCACAAGCTCTTCACTGTGTGGCACCAGCAGACTTCTTTTTTCACTGAGTCATAATTTTTTACTTACCTACCTCCATATGTTCTTCTATAACACATCCTGCATTTCAAAGTATTAAAACTACCTTTAATACCACATTCTATAGTGAACAATTTTGCCAAACTGGATAGACCTTCATTATTCCAAATGAGAGGCACTGAAACCCCACGCTTACCTCATTTCTAGCAATTTCAGTGATCCTAACCTGGTTAGCAGTCAAGTTCAGAAATTTTCTTTTGCCAGTTTATTTCCAAGCACCATCCCCTTTAGCCCAACCTCTTATCTCCATACACTCTAACCTTTATTTCTTTTTAAATAGACATTAAGATTTTTTTAAATTAATTGATTGGTTAATTTTTGAGAGAGAGAGAGAGACAGAGTGAGAGAGCAGGAGCAGGGGGTGGGGCAGAGGGAGGGAGAGAGAGAAGCAGACTCCCTGCTGAGCAGGGAGCCCTACATGGGACTCGATCCCAAGAGCCTGGGATCATGACCTGAGCCAAAGGCAGACACTTAACCAACTGAGCTACTGAGGGGCCCACACTCTGACCTTTAGTCAATAAACTACAACATATTCCTCACAAATACCATATACTTTCATGTAATATTCCTGTTTTCATCCACATCTTCTGTTTCCTTCCCCAACTCAGTTAACTCCTATCCTTTTCTCAAAGCCAGATTCAAATATGGTATCTTCTCTCTAATCTTCCTCCTTATCACACATAGAATTATTTCCCCTCATCATTGTCCCCGCTGAATTCTATCTCTATCTCTGTTACAACTATTATCACACTGAAATTGTAGGGACTTATTTACATGTCTGGTCATTAGCTTCTTGCCACCAGGAGAGCATTTTCTTTTCTTAATCTAACATTTAACTTATGGTCTGAGTACAGAAATTTTAAACTTCTTATTGAAAAATAACCACTTCTTCTATTATGAAGATAATGCCATAATTGCAGTAACTGAGTGACGGAGAGTTTAGAAACAAGAAGAATCCTGTCATTCACCAGAGAGGGAAAAATGCTCTTATATACAAAGTATAATTAAATTGTAGCTTGGACAAACCTCCATCCGCATCTTGCAATAGCAGTTTCTTTTTCTCTATGTCTCTTTCTTTCCTTCTTTTTGAAGAAGTTCTTTACAGAACTCTCTTAAACACACATTGGGTTTTATTGGTATTTCACTCACAGAATATGAAACTCCATACAATGCAAAAGTTAGGATTAGGATTTTTGGAGTTTGCCTGGTCTGAATGCTAGCCTTCCTGCCTAGGCTCTTTGATAGGGGATTATTTGACCTCTGTATCTCTTAGTGAGGACACAGAAATAACGATAACCCTCATGGTGCTGTGGTAAGGACTCAATAAGCTAATGCACGTAAAGAATTTAGAACACTGCCTGGTTCAGAAGAGGTCCCAATAAATGCTGACTGATGTTATCACCAGTTTTAAAAACAGTTTTCTTGCTACTTATTTTAGCCCACTCGGTAGTGTTAACCTCCCAGAAGGAAGGAATTGTATTCTACTCATACACAAATTCGATGGAAGTACTAAAACTGTGCCTTGGAATATAATAGGTGCTCAATAAATAATGTGACTGTAAGGCTTAGACCTCCAACATGAACAAACTATAAGTTATAGCAAAATTTATACATGGAGTACGTATTTAAAATAATACTTTAAGTAGTTTCAAAACACCTATCTTCCACTGAACTGCTTAAACGTAAAACTTTTAAAGCAATACAAAAATTGTATTCATTAGGAACTTTACCTCTACTCCATTTGACTTGCTCTTAGTATCCAGTGGTCTAAAATTCTTGTGTATAAGACAGATCATTTAAAATACAATTTCCAGGGGTGCCTGGGTGGCTCAGTGGGTTAGGGCCTCTGCCTTTGGCTCAGATCATGATTGCAGAGTCCTGGGATTGAGGCCTGCATTGGGCTCTCTGCTCAGCAGGGAGCCTGCTTCCCTTCCTCTCTCTCTATGCCTACTTGCGATCTGTCAAATAAATAAATAAAATCTTTAAAAAAACCCACAATTTCCAGGTTTAGAAAAGTCTCTTTTCACATAAAAAAACTAATATTCTTCCTTTATATCTGTATTTTAAAAAATCTATTGCCACAGTCAATATTAAAAAAAAAAAATAATAACCCGACGAAAGGCCAAGAGACACAATTACTACATTTCCTGGTTTCTGCCTGGGAAACTACTTCAGAACATGCCTACAAGTAACCCCAGTAAAAGTCTGCTGGTTACAAACTGCTATTCTCTTTTTTATTTCCATTCTCCCCCTAAAACCCCACATACATTCATATACCAATAGAAAAGAATGCACATGTCTATAATAAAGGTTGTACAAAAAAATACAGCTACATATTAATTTTGTTTTGAAGGACTAAAAATTTACTAAGTTTTTTACTAAAAGCAGATGAAAGTCTAGATCTGAAGCAATACTCCCAGCTTACTTTACCAGGTAACTTAAACTATAACTATTTACTTAAAGCAAAAAAGTTGATTATTTGATTGGTACTGAACTTCATGATAAATAATGCAGTAACAATATGTAGATAATATGTTCTATTCTAGAAAAATTCATTGATCAGTTAAAAAATGGACCACACTTCAAACAACAGTGATTTTGTTGGGGTGGGGGGAGCTTAAACAATTTATTTACTAAGTAAACAGAGATTTAGGACTTTATCTAAAACACTGGAGGTGAATCACTAGCTTCGGGGTAAAGGTTTACAGAGTGCCTACTATGTGCCTGGCATTTAGTAGTTGCTTTACAGAATATGCTTAACGCTGGTGCGCAAATTACAATACCTAACATTTACAGACTACTCTCACTAATCTCCTTTGACCCTCAGAGTACCCTTAAGCATGAACATCCCAGATTTAGAGCTAAGGAAACAGAGCCCAGAAAAGTCGATTTGACCGAGGTATCACATCTGTTCTGTGGGTCCTGGCCGAGACTCCAGCCCTTGACTCATTATCTAATCATCATCTGCTATACTCGTTACTCAAAAGTTCTTAGATGTTCCATTGTCCAATTTTAACATCAAAATCCTACTGGACAACTTTCAATGCTGTGCTCATCAGATTCTGTTATGAATCAAAGCACACAAAAAGCAAGAATGTTTAATAAAAAGTCCATCTTTTGAGCCTGTAGACGTTCAAGCTCCCTGGCCAGCCCGGGAGGGCGATAGCCCCGCGCTTCCTCCGCGACGGGGCGCTCCCTCTCCCTGCCCTAAGACTGCCCAGCGCCCAACGCCCCCCGTCCCCGAGGTGAGTGGCGGGGACATGCCCCGCCGGGCCCCTCCACAGCCGCCGGGCCTACGAGCTGGGCTCCCAGGGCTCGTTGTCACGGGGCGCAGGGTCCGACAACTCGCGCGTCCCTTGGAGCCGGGGAGGAGCTCAGACTGCGGAGCCGACACCTCCGCCGACCCGCTCCCGCAATGCCAGCCGGGCTCCGGACGCCCAACATGCGACGTCCACTGCCGCGAGGGACCGAGGCCCCCGCCTCCGAGCCCGCCCCGGATCGCCCCGCGCCTACCTGCCCTTGGTCTCCACGCCGCCCCCGCGGCCGGGCTGCGAAGCTTTCCGACTCTCTGCGGACGCGCCAGGTCTCGGCGCTCGCACTCGGGGTTGGCTCCGTCCCGCCCCCGCAGGCCCTGAGAAGGCCCCGCCCCCGGCCGGCAGCGGCCCCACCCCCACCCGGCAAAGCTCGGTTCTTATTGGCTCCTCTTCCCACCCTTCACGCTAGGGCCCGCCCCCGGCACCGCCCGAAAACCGTCGAGAAGGGAATAGATCCTGTTGCAGTCAGCCTCTGGGCTAGAACCTTGCCCCAGAAGTTGGTGACCCGGACTCCGGCCAAGGCCTCTAGCCGAAGTCCCATTGCAGTTGCCGTGCCTGCGGTCCTACTGGCCCCACGGTGATGGACCTGAATTTTACATGAAGGTTGACTCTTTCTAGTTTAAGCGAGGAATCCAGATGGCATCTCCGTCAAGGAAAGCATGAAATTCTCTCTTGCCACTGCATTTGCAGTCCGGTGCCAACTTGAAACGTAGACAGATGCAAATAACGCTCTGAACACCTGAGGTTTGAAGTCCTAGAGCAGGGTGCCTTTGATACTCCCAGTGCCTGAGGTCGGCCCCCACGCCCTGTTGTGACACACATGCCTAAGCCCTACGCCTGCAACACGCTCGTACTCAGGTATGTGCGTGGCGCTGTGCCTACTGCGAGCGGTAGCCCAGTTTCACTAAGGCTGCGAGTCGGGATGAGTTGAGCCTGTTTCCCAGCACTCGCTGAACACCCCAACCCACCTCGTCCCGCCCCATTCCGCCCCACCCCGCCCCGCCCCGCCCCGCCCCAGCCTCTTGGGTCTGATGACCAAAATCTTCCCACATCTGTTCGCAGAGAGGTACCAAAATAGAAGACTGCCAGAAAGAGAGGTGTTTGGTTACACATCACAGATGACTGTCACAAGCGAATTTAGCCAAGGCAGTGAAAGCTGCATATCCCACACCGTTGTGAAACAGTGAGCTGTGGACAAACAGGAATTACCTTTTATGGTGGGGCGGGGGGGGGGGGAAGTAACGACAAGACATTTTAAAAATCGTGTCTTGGTGAGGAAATAAATGTCAATATTGTTTGCATAAATTTTGAATGGTGATCTTCATGGATTACCCCTCTCACCTTCCCCAAGTCTTTATATTTAGAAAACTTCCCAAACAGTTGTCTAAGACGAAATTTTAAGCTAGAACGGTATGATTTTACAACTTATTTCAAAATGCAAATTTTGAGTCCAAACTTTGCATTCAAGAAGATTATTTGGCAAAATGACGCCGACTGAATTCTAAGTACCAGATAGGAAACCAAACCTGGCAAGGGTTCTGTGGCTGTAATAAAGGAATTAACATGTATGTATTCTACTGCCCTCTCATGGGTAAGATGGAAATATAACTAATGCTAGTTAATGCCTTTTAAGTTCAAGAATAGAATGTTTAGTTTAGCAATCTGTATTATTTTAATGACATGGAGAACAAAGTAAAATAAAATCAGATTCTCTAAGGGACTTACAAATATACTCAGCAAACAGAAATTCAACCTCAGAAACCAAGGAGAGGATTCTTACACTAGGGCTAGTATAAACACGTTGTCAGGATCACACCCATGCTTACAGTGACCAGTATAGAATGTGGAAACATGCAGGAATTTGCCTTTAATTTTTTTTTCCATTTGAAAAGTCATTACTTTCTGAGATGTTTCACAAAATGTTCTTTTTCACATTTGTGTCCACACACATCTTATCATTTCACACTGTGAACAACTTGAGAGTAGGAATGAAATCTTATTCTTTATAACTTTGCTGCCTAAATAGAGCCTGATATTTGAGCTGTTTGATCAACTGTTTACTAATAAATCAAATGAACTATCAGCCCAGCCACTAGGTGGCAACACAGTTGTATGCGTAGAGGTATGGTCTAGCGAATAGGAATTCTACCTGGCTGGCCTTGAGTAACAGGCAGGTTTCTAAACAGTTACATGTGTATCTTATTTTGGTAAGTGGAATTATTTAAAATGTAGAAGGACAGCTGACTATAACTTTATTGCCAAGTACATCCTTACAACTAAGAATCCTTTTGTAAGGTAAGTTCTCCTGAAGTGAAATAGCTCATAAGTATGGATTTTCTATATTGGGCAACAATATGTTTTTGTCTAAGAATGCCAGACTTCTGTCACATCCTGTCAAAAGGATATTTTAATGGTCTACGTGTTTCTAGCAAATTTCATTCTATAAACCAAAAGCCTACATCCTCCCAACCACAAGTCATTCGCTCAAATTTTTGCCCTGTTTCAAGTTATTATGAGTAATTAATAGTTTTTAAGGTGGGGCAAAAATATGAGCAACTGTGAGCAAATGTTTTGCCTGAAAGTCATGGAGACTCTGGAGTCAGACAAACCCATGTGCCCACTGCTACCACTCAACAAATGTGTCCTTGTGCAGGTTATTAACTTCACTAGCCTCAGTTTATTCATCTCCCCCAAATGAAGATATTATTATCTACTTCATAAAGTGAAAATGACTAAGTGAATAATGTCAGTGAGGGAATATCTAGAGCAATCATTGGCTTATAGCAGGGATTCAATAACTGGTAACTATTATGATTCGTATTCTTCAATGAAAATCTCACCCATATTATTATTTGGTTTATTTAATTTAGTCTCCTGATTTAAGGCCTTCAGCAATTAAATTGAGTTCATAACACCAGGTTTCATAGCGATAGGCCATGCGGATTTGGGCAACATTTGTCCTCCGGATGTCATTTCCAATAGGGCCGTCCTCAAGGTAATTGTTGCCCAGAAACCTTGCTTTCTCCTGTAAGAGAAAAGGAAGCAGAATGATTATTGTCTTTTTATCCTGATATAGACTATAATTACATCTTCCACAAAGATGCCTTCTTTGCATTACTTACTGACAAAAGGAAAAAACAGACCATTCAAAGCACTCATCCAGGGTCTCAATGCTCATGGTCTGCTGAGAAGTCAAGTGTATTTTATTTGCCTTGCCAAAGGCAGAGCCAGAGAGATAGAGGACTTCTTTCTAGTCCCTGTCCATAGTAACAGCATATGATTTGTGGGATAATTTTTCCACATGTGTTTCCCCAGCTATCTTTTCAGTACTCAGTTACCAGATCCCATACACAGAAGGGCAACCAGTCAAGGACAGGTCTACCTCATGAGAAATTCCACATTGCAGAACACTGTTTCTTGCCACTTCACACATATCACAGGTACTCAGCTTGAACACTTGTGCAGCAATGGCATATTCTTCCATTAGGGGCTCCTTGGATTATTTATTTAAATGAGACAAAAAAAAAGGAAATAGTGTATTTAAAAACAATAACACACATCCAGCAGAAAAAGTACAGTGAAATCTCTTGAGTAGACTCTAAAATTCTAGATGGCCAACAGGGACACTTGGGTGCCTCAGTTGGTTAAGCGTCTGCCTTTGGATCAGCTCACGATCCTGGATTCCCAGGATGGAGCCCCATGTGGGGCTCCCTGCTCAGCAGGGAGTCTGCTTCTCCCTCTCCCTCTTCCCTTTGTTTCTCCTTCTCCCTCTGATCTTTTCCTGCTCGTGTTCTCTCTCACTCACTCACTCAGTCTCTCTCAAATAAATAAATAAATAAATAAATAAATAAAATTCTGGGTGGGCAACAACAGTCCCACCAAATATGCTGGTGTTGCTTAAGATTCCACATGCATACCTTGGTGAAGTGGAATTGCATTGGGTCATCTGTCGACAGCGAGATCATTAGTCCCTTCTGAAGGAAATCTAAAAAAGGATTTTTGGCATATTCTAGAAATAAGCTGTTGTTACTTAATGGCGACATAGCGATGGGAATCTGGGCTAAGAAAAACAAGTACTGTAACACAGGACTCTGAAAAGGAATAGTGAAAAACAATATTTAAGGATGTTGAAAAAGAGATACAAACTAGAAATGTTAAAACCCCGTGGTCTACCTCAAGTTTCAGCTTTCCACAAAATGATCACGTGTTCTTTAAATCCCTTAGTAAAAAAGAATACTAGTATTTAAATGTAAATACTATTTAGAATAAATTTATTTGGGATCATCAATTTTCAGAAGCATTTGGTCAAATCATATGTTTGAGTTTTAATTGTCTAAGTTAGATGGTCTTCCTCAGAGAAGAAACTTCATCTTGAAACACTTTTTCTTTCTCTACGAGAAAGTTCTGACTCTTGCCAGAGGCGTTTGGAAACATGCTATAACAAGAAATCTGGCAAAAACCAGCTTAAGGTAAGCCAAGTGCCTCTGAATTATCCCTTTTCAGAGTTCTAAAATGGAAGCCCGAAGACGTGCATTAATTCATCCCTGCCACTAACTGGTTAGGTAATTTTGAGCAGCTCCTTTGACTTCTCTGGGTCTCTGTAAAACGTACTGCACTTCATAACCTAAAAACCTTTTTTTGCTCTGCTTTCATTTGATTCCAGTGTTGATAATGACTTGTGACAAAATGATAAGGAAAAAAATTACTCCTCTAGCTCCAACATAAAACACATTCAGAAGAGAGCCTGCAACTCACCTTTTTTAAATTCAGGCCATGGGAGATATTATCTGCTGTCATGAATGCTGTCATGAGATGGGTGAGAGCCCCAGCTTCCCCACAGTGAGGTCGGAACAGGAACGTATTCATGCCTCGTTCCCTAGAGAAAGGGAACCGCCACGTAACCACAGGTCGCTGAATATGACCTAGCAGCAATTCTGGACATGGAGGGATTTACAAGAAAATCTGGTAGAAAAAAAATTAACACTCTGAAAGGGAGTGGGGGCATCTAAAAGATTCAGTGAAACTGGCATTTCCAAATCATAATCTTATTCTTCCCGAACGCAGACTTCTGAAAAAAGAGGCAGCAGAGAATATTGGGGTACGGAGGAACCTAGTCATGATCTGATTACCTGCAGTTTCAACAGGAAGTTCACCAGTATCACCAAGTTCTCATTTCTCCTGCTAATGCTTTTGAGGGGGAAACATTTCCAGAAAACCCTGTTATAATATTCCTCTACTCCTTACCCACATATATCAAGAAGGACAACATATATGGAGGTCTATAATACATCACACAGAGATTAGTATCAATTCCTAAACTTCCAACGAAAAGGAACTGTGAAAGTTACTGAAGGTTCCAAAATGTCTATTCGTCCTGCTAAATAAAGAAAGAAACCAAACAAAAAGACAAGGGAAAGAAGGGTCTGGTTTGGGCTGGTCAGAGGCATCCCAGCAATGCAGTGGGATGACCACCCAGGGCACCAATGTCTCAGCAGAGGTGTGTCAGATAGAATCCTCTCCTTCAAGGCACTTGGATGGCTCAGTTGGTTAAGTGTCTGCCTTTGGCTCAGGTCATGATCCCAGGGTCCCAGGAATGGAGACCCGCATTGGGCTTCTGGCTTGGTAGGAAGCTTGCTTCTTCCTCTGCCCCTCACACTGCTCTTGTGCTCGCTCGCCCTCTCTCTCAAATAAATAAATAAAATATTAAAAAAAAAAAAAGAATCTCCTTCTAGCTCCAGTTCTCATCTACTCACTTTCTCAGGCTGTTGAGCACCGCGATGTTCGCATACATGTAGTAGGCATAGTAGGTGTAAGAGGGATTCTTTTCCATTGTCCACTCCTGGGGCTTGGGGCTCTTGGAAGAGAACATGTGGCCACTGTGTTTGGACTCATCGTCCACACTGTCGAAGCCAGTAATCTGTCCGGAAAAGTGAGCCACGCAATGGGGTCAGTCTGACTGCAGGATCCTGGTCCTCAGACAAACTTTCAGCTCCCAAAGCCCAGGACCAAATGTCAGAGATAAGCAGCAAAAATGAGTCACAGCTATGTGGGAGTCCTGGTTCATGCACAGCAACAGGAAGGCCTAATGGGTCATGCTTACATGCTTGAGGAAGACACTGAGGTCAGGATGAGCCTGGGGGTTGATGGTGGCCTCAAACACTGGCATGAAAACATTCTCCAGCATCTTTCCGAAGTGTGGAAGGAAATTCTTAGATCGAAACAC